AAGGTGTGGGGCTGCAAGTAGCGAAACCGAGAGTTTTTTGGTTTGAGCTTTCATGAACTCTTATGATTATATTTTTCCATTACTTGAATACTTTGCACGTTTGTATACTAGATTTATTATCTTAATTTAAAGTCGTGATGTTTAAATTTCTTATTTGATTCATGATTGAAGATTCTTTACCACGGGACATAGTCGCATGGCAACTTTCTTGTCAGGAAAACAAGTTCCAAATAAAATTTTTATAAGTATATCCAAAGAATGACGACGTACGATCTTTGTCAAAATAAAAATTTTAATGTAACAGGTTGAAATACAGTGTTCGTGAAAAACATACGATTGTGTTAGAGATGTTCGAGCCATGCCACTACTTGAATTATGCACAATTAAAAGTCATAGGAAGATCTATTTTTTGAATTGGGTGCATGAAAAAAATTTACTCGTGTGCCCTATTGGTCGTGTCGCTTAGAGAGATGATAGTTGATAATTTGAATCTCGGCACTGAAATTTTGAAAAGTCATTTAAATTTAATGCTTATTCATAAGAATATACACAGAAAAAGAAGGATCTTTGATTCTTCAAACACGATTAAAAATTGTTTCTGTTTCAAATTAGAATCACTTATATCACACAATTTTTTTAATTGAATTACGTGTGATTTAATTGCACGCATTTCCTGAATCAGGTAACATAATTTAATCACATGTAAAGGAACTATGAATGTAGAGAGCACATCAGTCAATGATTTGGAACTATGGGGTTGTATGAACGGTATTCGGCAATATGATATTTGAGAGAAGAAAAAGTAATCTCTGAAGTTGACAGGATCACGGTGAACCTGGTGAAGAAAAAGTAATCGTTGTATAATTTCTTTATGTGGCAGGAGAAACAAAAAAGGGTGAAGCTCCATAAATGTACAACTTCTCCATGGGGGCGTTTTAAAACTTACTTTTCTTAAAAATTATTTTAATTGTATTTTTATAAAATTTATTTTCTAACTAATTGTGCATAAAACTTTCTTCAAAAAAAAATCTGCATAGAACTAGCAATAAATAATTTGAGAAATAAAATAACAAAAGAATGAAGTGTTAGATTTTACTTCATCGAGAATAGGAATTTAAAATTCTCATTTATAGAAATAGGACGTTGGGCCACCCTCAATATTCATCTAAAGTCTCCAATTGTCTATGAACATTTATGTTATTATACAAAATCTCTTTTTCAAATTAAAGAATTATCATTCAATAAAATGTGTAAAATTTAGTAGGACTCATTTCATCTTTATATTGATGAGTTGAAATCCCAAATTTATGCTAACGAGCAGGTTGGCTTGGATACTGAATAACCATCTCTCTCATAAGTTAAACCAAATACAAGAAAATTGATACAGGATTAAGACCAAAACAGTTACAAAATGATTTCAAAACAACTAAAGAAAATAAAACTATTGCTAAAACAACTATAAGACCAACCTTTGAATTTTTTTTAAAAAAAAAAAAGAAACAAATTTCAATCCGAAAAAAACTGAGCCGGACGGCTTTGACATTAGCGAAAATGTCAAAAAAGATAATAATAGAGAAAAAGAATGGTTGAATAGTATTTTTTAAAGGGGTAGAAAGATACTCCTACCTTCACATTTGAAATAAAATATTTCTGACAATGGGTAAGTTGAAGGAAAAATAAATAGATAATGCAAAATGACTAAATCAAACTAAGAAATGGATTAAAAAATAATAAAATAAGGTGAGAATGCATGGTATGTTAAAAAGAAAAGAGTAAAATAAAAACACTGAGTCACTTCGAGAGAAAGAATAAAGGACCTGATTTGCGATGAAGATGGTGATGTCAATTCCAATACTACACATATAGTCTACAGACCTATTGCTGTATACATAATCATTCTATTTGAAGTTCACTCTTTTTTGTTTTTATATATTATTTTTCTAGATTTTTTAACAATCCTCTTTGCATTAAATAAATTATCACCGTATTCATATAGTAAAGTGTTGTTGATGTTTGTATTTTATATTTTCCAATGAAGTCATTATACATTTTATGAAAATACAAAATTTATAAAAATATTGATATTTTTTGTTTCGCTTGTGTGGAAATGTCTAGATGTGTATGTCCTCCCCATCCATCGGACAGGTCTAACACCTAATTTTTTTATTAAAGATAAAAATTGTTACCTTGGTATCAATGAGCATAGCCTCAAGAGAAACATCTTGTTACACGCACATTCGCTTTCCAATCGGACTTGACCCAAGTGGAGGCGAGATCTTCAACCGTCGGCGGCCGTTAGGATAGATTTGGTGTGACAGAGTAAACAGAGGAAGAATATGTTTTAATGGACAGATCAAACGTGAATCCAATTATTTGTATTTATAAGATCCATGAGACATTAATTATTATCAGTCACATGAGCCTGTAATCTTATTCGACAATAATTTCTAACTTTGTAATTCTAATGACTAGATATTTTCTGATAAGATTTGTTGAGACCATATCACTCACAACTACACAACCGAATATGTTTTGGTATTCAAATAAGATTACAAATTTGTTGAGATTTGATCTCCCCTTCAAGTGTATCTGTAGATTACTTTCAGATAAGATTTCTACTGGAATTCAAATTCCAATTCGATCATCCTTCATGAAATGGACACTGGATTTTAATCTTGAAAATATTTTTTTACCATAACATTTAAATCTAAGAAAATGTATAGAAATTGCCACATCGGTGGATTAAATCCTATGTGGCATGAGAAATTTAATATGTGTCTTCTGATTTTTACTTTAGTATAATATATAGATAGATTTCCTAGTTTATGTAATTATCTATTATGTCCAAAAAAAAAAAAACCAAATTTGGCCTTATTCCGACCACGGTTCGATTTTTTTTTTCTTGAAAAAAACAAATTAACGGGTTCCATATTTTATTTATTTTTTCCATATTTTTTTTCTTGAAAAAAAAACTCTCTCTTTTTTCCCCTTCTAAGGAGAAACTTTTATATTGACTCAATTTCTGCATAAATTTTACATCAAAGGGCAATGCTAGGTCCATTAAAGTGAGCTTCATCCAATGGTTTGGTATGAGAGAATTCTGCTCAATCAGAATTCCACTGTTTCGCTCAACAAATAAGGGAAAAATAATGTTTACATTAGTGTCCTTTTTCATCAAAACAGAGTTTAGATTCACCACAAGCGAGGACCCTCTATCTCAAACTTGTACTCAATATTTCTAATGAATCGATCAATCACGTACCAGAAATAAAAATGCAAATTGTTCACTCAATCGGTCTTTGTAGGTATCAACAGGAATCCAGGGGAAGTTTTAAGTCTCTAAGAGCACAACTAAATACGAGGAGAAATTTTCAGTCTTTTTGGCTTCTTCGCGGGACCATGTCGCAGTCTCAGAAGTTCTTCCATTCCAAGATGAAGCTAACAATTAATTTGTTAGACTTGTTACTTTTCGTGCGATACACTTTAATCGCTCAAGAAATTCCTTAGAATTTTGGTGGTAGAGAGAGTTGAGAGAGTTGCAAATTTGATGTTAAACTCAAATGGTTGGGAAATGTGGCATGTGGGAGTGGGAACAAGATTTTTGATTTTTGTTTAAAAAAGAATTGAATAAGTGACCAAATCTGAAGATAAGAAAGATGTGAGTTATATGACCATCCTTTTTTTTCTAGCCCGTAAACAGTTCTAAAACAAAACAATTGCCGTTAATCTTTTCATGACCTAAAAGAAGGGTACAGGTTGGGGCGTTGAGCAATTCTGTCTTCCTCTCTAGTGTGAAGAAACATGGTCAAAAAGCAGTCACTTTTCACATGGTACCGAAATTTCGTAGACAACTTTGAAAACAGAACCCAATGGTTGCAAGTTTATGGAGGTGGAAATTGACAAGAAGCTCAGGATCAATGGTTGCAAGCTTTTGAAACAACTGAGTGGAATGCTTGCAATTGTTTACCCACAACAAAATTTGACAAAGTCCAATGAAGAGAACCAGAGCAGAGTGAACTGCCTTCTTGGCAATGCACCAAATAGAACAAGCGAGTGATCGAGAGTAGAACGCTCGAAATCTGTGTTGGACTTCAGCAGAGTTATATAGGCTTTGTGCAATGAAACCACAGCAATTTCTTTAATCAAACACAACTACTGAAGCAGCGTTTTTCTCGTTTTTGTGGAGAAATTTTGAGAACTACTAGTACTAGTGCACAGTTGGACGGTCGACAAGAGGAATATAAAGGAAAACACATAAAGGAGAAACCATAACATTCATTTGAGCTTAAGTTTTACAAACACATTATAATATGATATGATACGAACTGAAGCTATTCAATTATATAGTCATCAGCTACAACCCGACTTCTATAAAGTTTGACTTCGCTCCATTCTATTTGAAGCGGTGAAGAGAACTTTGGTCATTCTTTTGAAGTACTAAAAGAAGTTTTTTCTGCTTTTCTGCAACTAACATGGCAAGGATGAATCAGAACTGGAAAATTAACATATGATCTTCTGAAACGCTCTCGGATTATTTGAAAATGGCGCGTCATTATAAGAATATTTCCATTTTTCTAACGTTCCTCTGTCATGAGACACACCAGAAATTATTAAGCGCATTAGTATAAGGATACCAAAGATGTAAGACGCATCGTTTAATTGCCAATAAGGACTGCATAAGTACATCAGGAACATAAGGATTAGTGTCTTGAGAGAAATTTATATAAACCTGAGTTCCTCTTAACCAGGAACGAAAAGCGATGGGAATAAATGAAACCAGGATTCTGACTTATGAAAACTAATTGTACAACTAACAGATGTGAGTTGTGACAAACATAGTACTATAAGTCTAGATCAACAAAAATGCAAAGTAAGGTACAACTTCATGACTCTTTCCCGCATCAGTTTGATCTTTATATGAACCAAAATTTTAAAAGTACAAGTTCTGGATTACCTAAACATGAAGAAAACCGGCGAATCATCTAGCTCCGGCGTAGCAGCTAGACCAGCCTATCTGGTGGCTTTCCCTTAGTTTCCCGAGAGGACTTTCTTCTCTTGCAACTTTGGGAATTCTCGGCATTTTCAGGTGAATCTCTTCCACTCATTTTCGGTGAACTGTTGGCTTTTTCAAGTAGTACATCTCTTCCACAGATTTTATTTCCTAATAGAACAGATTCACATGGGTTTTCTGGATCTAGTTCTGCAATGCTCTTTATCTGAGAATCTACATTGACAGCAAAATCTACCATAGAATTTTTCTCCCTCAAATCCAAAAGATCTTTCAAGACTTGAAGTTGCTCCTCTTTCGCAACAAGCTCAAGGTTCTTTGACCCCATGATTTTTTCCCTCAGCTCAATCTCCTTAAGCAATGTAGCCGATTTCTCATCTTTCTCCTCTACATCTTTAGCCCTTCTCTCCAGCTTCACCATTTCTTCACCAATTGCTTCTTTTATTTCTTGCAACTGTTTCCCTTCAAACTCCATCTTCTCCGAAATCCCAAGCATCTACTTCTCTTGCTCATTTGATTTCTCTAAAGCGTCCTCCAAAATCAAATCCACTACCTTCTTTTTCATTTCCAGTTCTTCAATCCCTTTCTCGAAGTACTGTATAAACTCTCTCCGCTGGCCTTCAAGTTTTTTCATCTCAAACACGTGAGATCTTGTCCTTCCATCAATTCCTTCTCTTTCCCTCCCAACATTCTTTGTCTAGAATCAAGCTCAGTTTCCCTTGCATTCGAGTTCTTCACCCTCGAATCGAGCTCAGATTCCATTCTCTCAAGCTCTTCCCTAGTTGCAGAAATCCCATTCAACAGTATCTCCAACATTTTCTTCTTGAAGCACATCTCATCACCCTTTCTCTTCAAATTGTTCTCCCTTGAATCAAGCTCTTTTCTCATTCTCTCCAACATTCCATCTCTGAAATCAAGATCCATGTTCCTCCTCTCCAAATCATTCATCTTTTCCATTAGCTCCTTTTCCCTTCTCCGAAAATGAGTCTCCTTTGATTGAAGCTCCATTTCCCTGTCCTTCAAACATTTCTCAGAAGAAGAGATCTCATTCTTCCGTTCCTCCAAATATTCCTTCTGGGATCTCAGATCATTTTCTTCTTTCTCCATCAGACCCACATGATCTTGCTCTCTCAAAACAACCGCCTTAAGCTTTTCAATCATGGAGTCATTAATTTCCTGATTAAAAAGATGTATTCCTTTCTCCATCTTCTCCACCACCCCATTTAACAATATTTCTTTCTCCTCCAATTTCTTCAACCTTTTGTCAACCCATCTTTTCCGAAACTTAAAATCTTCAGAACTGCGGAGTATTGACTCTTCAACCGACTTCAGTCTCTCTTCTCTGGTTTGAAGTTCAGTGAAGCACTCTGTAAATGAGGCCTTATATTCAAGCATCAAAGAACCCATCTTCTTCTCGTTCAGCAAGATTGCTTCGGATATCTTCTGCAACGAACCCATCTCTTCAAAACAAATTTTTTAGTGATTTTAACAAGAAAAGTTTTGATCTTTGGAAGAATGAACAGGGATGCTTTCTGAATGCATAAAAAGGTTCGGACTTCAGACTAATTCATTGTTTGACAGCTGGGAACTCTGAAATTTGGAAATTAATATGGAAGCTCGTAAATTTATGAATGATTCTGCTGTGGAAAGAAGAGATATTGCATCGCATTAGTAACTTCTTTTCAGCAGTTTTATGAGTCTTGTCAAATCACATTTTACTATTTTGATTGGCATAGTTGCGTTGCTTCTGGGGTTGTTTTTACTTTTTTTCACCTGCCACATGACCACCTCGATTTTAACTTTATTATTGAAGATTTGACTTAGAATCAAAATTAGCATTATTTTCGAATACCTCCCCAAGAGTTGATCGATTATCTAAAATATCCTTTCAATTTGAAAAATATTGTCATCCCTTTGGGCTTTGACAAACTAGCTATATACTTCCCCTTCGCATTCATATCATTATATTCCATCATTCTCAAACCAAAGTGGTTGTGGTCGAGTAGGAGGGACTCTTCCACCCTTAATCATAGGTCGAGGGTTCGAACCTCACCATGGACATAAGGAAATCTTAAATACTTACCCATTGAGATGGCTACAGTTCAGTAAGGGGTGGACACCCTGCAAATATGAAATATATATATATATATATATTCCATCCTTCTCACTTCAATATTTAACTTTATTGTTGTTGGCCAAATTTTCTTTATTTATACTACTATAATAAGGAGAAAGTAGCAATCTTTTTAAGTCATTATTTCTCCTAAAGCTCACACATCAAATAACTAATATTCAAGAACTATAAATTATTCAAATTTTAGGTAATTGATGGTGAATATAAGCAAATTATCTGGTACATCTGGGGGCACCGTATACCCCCCGCGCGTGTAATTTACTCTTTTAGAATAGTGTGAGTTCGCTAGATAATTCATCCTTCTTTTTCTTTTTTTTTTAAACGCGTGTGGATAACCAGTATTCACCATGTGGATAACCAGTGTTGGCACTATGGATAACCAATTACACACAGCTGGATAACCATTATTAACATGTTAGATAACCAGTATGGACATAGTGGATAACCAGTGTGCACATTATGGATAACCAGTTACACACAGCTGGATAACCAGTTGCCAAATTTCATTTTTTTCCTTTTATATTTTTCTTGGATATCCTTGTCCGTATTTTTACACTGGTTATCCAGCTGCCTCTCATTCATTTTTTGTTCTCCATCATTTGGCAAAGTTCCCCTCATTCAATTAAATACTATTTATGAAATTTGTCATGTTCGGCATGAGGGTGGCACAGCCGCAGGCACCGGCGCAGTCGGGTCGTTTAGTTTATCACGGGAGGATTTATACAAGTAATTTGTGTCCCCTCTTAATGCAATAACACACTCTCCCTACACACACACTCTCCTTACACACACACGAAAAAAGAATTACCTTAACTACATTGGCGTGTTTGGCGGGGTGGCGCAGCCGGGGCAGGTTGGTGACCTGCGATTCCGGTAGCTACGGGAGTCGTTTAGTTTATCATGGGGGGCGAACCCCCCAATTAATATGTCATACTGGTTATCCACAAGTTGTAAACTTGTGATCCAAAAGATGTAAACTGATTATCCAATGTTCTGAATTGATTATCCAGGACTTTTGTACTGATTATCCAGCCAATGTCCAGCAATATCCAACCGTTTGTAATGGTTATCCAGGATCATTATGCTAGTTATCCAACTTGTTACACCTGATTATCCGAATGTTTTATAGTGATTATCCAGTCAAAAAAAATGCAAGTACAACATTTAATGTAAAGGTGAAAAATGTTAAGCGCGTGTAACACGTGTGTTTGATGGGGGTATACGGTATACCCGAGTGCACTGGATTTTGACTCGGTGAACATAAACATAAGTGCAACTGATTTGAATTCTGCCCGAATTATTTCATCATAGTCTAACTTGATCATTGGATACTATTTGCAATGAATTGGGTATGGTAGTTTAAAAGTGCATTTTAGATATTCCCTGTAATCTTAGCGAATACAAATGTTGTAAGTTCTCAAAACTTCTCCCCAATTGTGTTCATTGTAGCCAATGCACAGCAGAATTGAGACTAGGAACTTCAGAAATTTAATGTCAATTAGATGATATGACTGAGTATGAGACTGGAGACTGAAATTGCTAGTTCGGTTATGATGGTGACTAAAACATTAGAAGTCAACATCTTTTATTTCTAATGTAGGTCGTGTTAAAGTCAAGTCGAAAACTAATTATCGCCTTAAATCGAACTGAACAGAAAACTTAAAATGCATAGCATCAATCCACAACAATTGGCTTTATCCAAGTCGAGAAGTCATTTGGTCTAATTAGAGAGTCGACAAAAGGACTCTTTGTTAATTGGAATCGAATACAGCAACCAATGTGCACTTCAACATTTTAACAAGGACTCTTCTTTTTTATTTTTTATTTTTTATTTTTTATTTTTCTGTTTTGGAAGTTAAAGAGGTCTCCCATGCAAAATACCTTTGATCTTTTAAAAATGAACTAATGTACGATGAAATCTAGCCTTACCAGTGAAAGGGAAATCTACAAATTAATAATGCTCCTCTTAACACATCTTTAGAACAAATTTGGACCATTTCCTTCCGATTAGACCCTGAAAAACACAAACACAGACAAACCTCCAAGATACCAATTTGGCTCACTTGACCATAACAAAAACTCAAGATAACAATCATAGTTCACTAAAGAAAGAGAAATGTTGCAGGTGAATACTGGAAGAAGCTACCTAGAGGAACAAACTATCTGTAACATTTATCAGGCAAAGGCGCTTCGGATACAGAAAGAAACGCAGACTGCTCAGCATACATTTCAGAAGATAAAGAAGAATCAATGAAAGAAGTAAACAGCATTCACATGTAAGATGATGCACTTCTGATTCAAACTCCCCCCACCATATGCTCCATTATTGTGTCCCAAAATTTAACAAACTAAGTTTAGATGGCAGATGCACAATGTGAAGCATTTTATTCCAATAGCACTTCTACAATCACACATTATTTCGACAACAACCATTTTATTAAACTAGGATTTTTGCAGGTGGTACAAGACTGAATATTGAACCACAGAAGACTGTGGGGAACATCTGCAACAATTGAGATGGACACAAGATCATACCAGGCTAACATCAACATTTTATGACTATAATGTATGTCAATTGGCTTGACCATCAGGAAGCATTTCGAATAGCAGATGATTTCTTTCCTTAACAAATGCAATGAAATGACTATAGAGATATCGACTGGCAGTGGATCTTCAATGAAGTAGTTGTTGAATACTGCATTCAAGAACTCGAAAACTTTTAAAAGAGAATCATGAAAAGTATATACTTTAATAAGTTCACTAAGATAATGCTGTATAATATCATCACTCGAAACTCAAATACAACAAGTAAAGAAGTCCGGTGGAAACAGTCAAGTGCTATGTAACCAATACACCAAAGAAAAGAAAAAAAGACTAATTAAAAGATCCAACCATCTCTCTGATCTCTTCTTTTACCCTACTCATTAGGAGAAGGATTTTCTACCTTCTTCAAATAATTTTAGTGGTCACACCACGCTTTAGACTGATCTTTGCTGCTTCTCCTACTGTAAACTCGTGTCACCTCAGTCCTCTTGTCCCCAACACATCTATGTTGAACTGAATCAGCATCTGCCATTTCATCTGTAATATGAACTATGAAGAACCAGTGTTAGATCACATTAGTATTAGATCATATAACTTGACTTGAAATCTATGCACACTTACCAGAATCCGAAGAATGGATCTCTCCTTCGTTCTTCCCTGGTGCAAAAGTTCTTTTGTGACGCCTCGGGCAATCTTTTCCATCCAAATCCAGGACCATATTCTGCACATATTTGAATTGTGATGGATTGGGAGGAGCAGATCCTTGAACACTCGGATAGGGGGGATTTTCGAAAGAAACAAATTCCGAGCATAGGTTCAAAATCTCCGCCTTATAACCTTCAATTTGCTTTTCATACTCTTCCAGTATATTCCTTTTCAAGACAAGCTCACTTTGACTTCTCTCAACAGCTTGCTCAACGGAAGAAAGCTTGTCTTCCTTTGCCTTCACAACATTTTCCCTTGATCTAAGTCTTCTGCTCCATGTCTTCAACATTTTATCTTTGGAGTCAAGTTCGTTTTCTTTGCTTTGGACTGTCTCCTCTCTGGTATCAATTTCAGTTTTCCTTCTCTTCAAATCCTTCTCGCCCGCGAAAAGCTTAGGTTCTCTTCCCTCCAAAACAATGCTTCTTCTCTGCAAATCCTTCTCAGCTGCAAGAAGTCTATTCTCTCTTCCCTCCAGATCAATGACCTTTGATTTAAGATCATTCTCCAATTTCTGCAAAGTTTGTTCTTGTTCTGAAAACACATTTACTTGTCTCTCAAGCTCTTTCTTGTTTGCAAGTAGATTATCCTCACATCTTTCCAGTGTCTTCTTCCTCAAACCGAATTCCATTAACTGTTCTTCCAAAATTCTAGCTTTTAAATCAAGATCTTCTTCCCTTTTGTTCAAGATTAGGCTCTTCTGATCAAGCTCTTCTTTTATTCTTCCAAGCTCATTTTCCGCATTTGGCTTCTTCATCTTCAAAATGTCTTCCTGTTCTCTAGCCAGAACAAATTCTTCTTTGTAAACAAGAAGCTTTTCCTTTCTCTCCAAATCTTTCTCCCTGGATTTGAGGTCATTTTCCTTTCTCTCCAACTGGCTCTGCACCAAACCATAGAAATCCACAAGATGCTGTTCTCGGGAAGCAATATCTTTAAGCTTTACCTCCAGAGAGTCCTGAATCACTCCAAATTTCCTTGTCTCCATCTCCACCTTCTTCAAAACACCATTCAAAAACCTTTCTTTCCCCTCCATTTTGTTGAATTCTCTGTCAACCCTTAGTTTCTTGAGCTTAAAATCTTCTGTTCTCCTTTGGATCGATTCTTCAACCGCCTTCAATCCCTCTTCTCTGGTTTGGAGCTCGTTGAAGCATTCATTGAGGGAGTTCTTGGTGAAATCCAAATGTCTCTCGATATCCCCCCATTCAAGCATAAGAATATCCATGACACCATCAAGGGAAGCTTTATTCTCTTCATTCTGTGAAATTGCCTTGGCTACCTTCTCCAGAAAACCCATCTCCCCAATGAACACAAGATTCCCTTTTCCTCCCTCTACAACGACTAACAAAATTCGAAACTGAAAATCAAGTTTGAGAAAAAAAAAAAAAAACAAAAAGCTTTGATCTAGGTAGGAAAAAAAAAAGGGTACAAGGAATATCTGTTACCTCTGTTTTTATTGTGTGGTGGTGGAAAATTGCGTTTCTGTGAAGCATGAAGTTAATGATTCAGCTGAAGATAGACAACTGTGTTGCATCCAAAACCAGTTTTTCTTTCAGCTGTTTCAGAGTGTTTCAATGAGCAAAATTACTTCTTTCATGATAAAGTTTTTTTCTCTGGTTTTTTACCTTTTCTGGATGCACACAGTTTCTATTGTATGGTACTTTCAAATTTTTTATTGGTATTTTATTTTGTGCCATTTGGGTTTGACTGTTGAGACTTGAGTGTGTGTTTAGAGGGGGATTTTGAAGTTACTGTAATAGGTATTTACACTGCCCACCGGCCCCACCCACTACCAATATTGAGGACATTAAAATATTCTAGAAATTATTGGAAGGAAAATGTAAAATCAAGTACGGCACGGTTTCAAAAAATGAGTATGATATGTGGTAGAATTAATGATCAGTTTCTCAGCGCTAGTAGAAACGCTGAACTAATTAGAAAAGCCATAATGATGCTAGCTATGAATTAGTATCATGTTTGCCACAATAAATGATTCAGCTAAAACAAGATAGTGTGAAATTTTGATCTTCCAAAGCTTGAGATGTAGTGGTAGTGTGGTACACTGAGATAGCCCTGGTTTGGTTCATCAAAGCGCATAAATCCGTAGCAAAGAAGACATTTAGAGAATGTTTGGACAGAAATTTGCTGTTGAAGCTTCTGATGGTTTCATCACCTCCGGATGGAGGGAAGCATCTGGTTGGCGCGATCTCCGTGTAAATGATCCTTGCCATGGCGAACTCCAATGGAACAACTAACAAACTGAAACTAACAGGTTGAAATAGTTATAGTGTAGCAGGAAGACAATTGAAACTAACAAATTCAGCATCATAGCAAGGGATTCTAAATCACCAAACAAGTGTCACAGGGCCAATTTTCAATGTCGATTTCTCAGGGCTGGTAGGAACTGAAAATGCAACATCGAAAGCTGACCCCTAGTAAAATCATTTTCATAAGAATTGTTCATTTTGTGCCAAAAATATTTGCATTACACTGAGGGGACTGACAACAAAAGACAAAACTCAGATGTTGCCAGATCTCTTTATTTGGAAGAACCAGGTGGCTATCAAAATGACATACAAACTGCAACGGTTCATGTACTCTGCTTTATCTCAACCAGGTTAATCTACCAGAGTTAAATTTGCAACCACAAATGAGGCAAAATTAACTTTTTATCATTAAAAATAAGGTAACAGTGAAGGATCATAAAAGGTTCCCACGAATTGAAAGAAACGAGAAAGAATCAGAATTCAGAACTCTACCATAGTATCAGGAATCACAACCACTGATATTCAGAATTGCAAAATTGGATGATTCTCTGAACCACGATATGATGGCTGCTATCCAAGTGATCCACAAGAAGCAGCATTTTAGGGCTCCAACACTCAGTAAATGAGGCCTTATATTCAAGCATCAAAGAACCCATCTTTTTTTCATTCAGTAGCATAGCTTCGGATAACTTCTGCAACGAACCCATATCTTCAAAACAAATTTTTTAGTGATTTTTACAAGAAAAGATCTTATTTTTTGTAGAGAATCATACAGGTTGAAGAATCAAGGTTATTTTGGTTGTTCTCAGTTCTTGTAAATAGAACTAAGTGTAGAATTCAGTTTTTAGTCTCGTGTACAGTTTTACGTACTCTTTTGAGTTGTATAGTATTAAAACTTAAGTTAGAGTAGAATCGTCTTTTTACTTATTAGTACTCAGACCAATTTATTAGCGTGTATGATTAGTAGCTGACTTACATGTGTATATATACACTCTTACTGTACAGATTATGCAAGTTGATAATACACAAAATTTTCCACAAATTCCCAATCTGAAACTTCATCTCTGTTCTTCGACCAAACCTAAGCCCTAGATAATGAACTCCCTAATTCTTCTAGATGGTATCAGAGCAGGTCAATCCTACTTCTGAAAACTGTTCTAGCTAGAGAATCTTGAATAACCTCATAAACCGCTTCCGTTAATTCTTAGAAATGGATGAGAGTCAGTTCGCGGAAGGTTCGCGAAGGATGCCAACAAGAAACGAAGAAGCTCGAATGGAGCAAAGGAACGAAGGATTTCTTGATGATCGAAGCTTTGGAGAAGCTCGAAGAGAGAATTTGGCGGTTAATTTTGGTGGAAACATGCATCCGCTAAGTTTGTCGCCATCTGATAGTCTCAATTTGACAGTCATCAATTGTCAATTGATATCGAACAACTATGTGACATGGAGTCACTCAATGAAGAGAGCTTTGAGTTCGAAGAATAAACTCGGATTCATAAATGGAACTGTTCAGAAACCGTCAGTTGGAAGTTTTGAATATGAGCAATGGTGCAGAGTTAATGATACTGTGGTATCTTCACTACAGGAAAAATGGCTTTTCGCGACACAGTAAATGTGCAGCAAAAAGTACGAAAAGTGTCGCAAAAAGGTGTTTGCGACAGAAACTGTGGCATATTTCATAGTGTCGCAATAAGTGCGATCGTAAATTTTGCGACACTTTCTTAGAAAGTGTCGCGAGTAAATGCGGCACTTCTGCGACATTGATATATTGCCTCAAAAATTTCGCGACATTTATCGTGTCATTTATTTTATTTGCCGCATTAAGCTTTGCGACAATTATTTTCGTCACTTACTAATGCCACACTAGTGATGCGGCTCCTTTTTAGCGTCACATGTTCAGCGTTGCATCACTAATTGCGTCATTAACAAATGACGCAAAATTACAACAGGCATGTCAATTTTTTTTTGTATTTAATTACTAATATTTTAATTTCTTCTTGGAGCTTTAATATGATTATAATTAAATAATAATTTAAATAGTATAAATAATATAATACAATACTGTATATAGATGTCAATTAAAGAATTTGAAAGAAAAGCAAATCTGATGTCAATTAAATTTATTCCCAAAAATTACAGAGGAATAGTAAACATTGCATCAATTATGTGGAATTACAAATATTACTACTAAAATAGCTAGCCACTCACGAATAAATTCATACAAAAAAAAAGAGAGATTCTTTTTTTTCTAACTTCATGTGTCCCATTCATGAAATCTTGACTTTCCAAGTCCAATTTATCCTGCAAAAAAGAGAGGACATACGTAAGAAATTACTATTACAAAGATAAATTTTTGTTAACAAAATTTTGATTTTCTAGATGAAACACATAACAACATTTTACTCATTATATCGAACTTCACGCTAGAAGTTAAAAAACAAGGTCATTTCCTTGGCAAAAGGTGAGAGTCAAATATTAATCTCCGTCACTATGCCTTCTCCAATTCAAATCTCTTCATTTGTTTCCTTACACAATCAGCGCTGGATTATATCAAAAGCCAAAACATGAATCAAACCAAGAACAATTTCAAAGGCGAAAACTGAATCCCAACAACTCAACCAAATTAAAGAAAAAAATCATGACCTAGAAATGAAGATGGAACCAACTGCGAAACTAAAAAAATCTGACCTTTTCAAATTCTTTTCCCTGATTGGCACTGAAAATTTAGAAGTATCAGATGAAAGTTTTCGTATCCTTGGAAATATTTTCGAACGGCAAGGCTACAGTTATGGTGTGTGAGTTGATGATGCCTACGGAGGTGAAGGAGGGCTTCGATGTATAGATCTGAAACGGAAGCATGATTATGGGGATTTTTTTGTTCGGATCTGAATCTTAAATATCATTACTGCTCCTTGTGAGGTTATAAGGAGAAGGAAGAGCGGCTGAGGAAGGTGGTCGATGGTGGAGCGGTGAAAAAAAAAAAGCTACATTGGTGGTTTTCCCGGAGAAGCAACCGCATTAGAGGAGCTTGACATTCTAAGGGGGATTGAGCTTGAAGAGGATGGTGAAGTTTAATGGAAAAATTGTCTATTGAAAGGGGTGGTGGCGGCTGATGACAATATGAGATAATAAAGTAACTTAAACCCTAATGCTAACACACGAGTCCTAATTCTTAAGTGGAGGACAATTCATTATTTTTTTAAGGACACTTCTATTTTCATCATACTGTATATACTAATTAGCATTGGAGCCAATTAAATTGTTTAAATCATTAAGTGACACCTTATATATTTTACAAAGACACCCTTAAGCGCACCCTTTTAATTTTAACCCGATAAAGTAATAATTCTTATCAAGTACATCCCTATTGAAACATTTCATTATTTCAATTGAACTCATGTACTTTGATGATTTATTAATAAAAACTTGAAAGTTTTAACTATAGAAACAATTGAGTTTCCCACATGTACACTACTGTATACACACAACTTTTTTGTGCATTGTTTAAGTATCTATGCATTATGCGTAAATCATGTATTGTTCACCATTGTTTATTAATTTTAATGTTGTTTGTGTGCATTTAATTTCCTTTTACTTAAAAGTTAAGTCTTGCAAAGGGGCAAAATGATTATATTTCAATGATACACATAATGATTTAATTGGTTATAGATAAATTATAATATAGTGTGTAAAATATGTTATGTAACACAAACATAAGTAGACAACACACTAATATTTCATCTTCTACTAAAGAATATTACCCGATCCCTAGTTGCTCCAAGATCTTGAAAGGTCAAATTAATTTTCATTTTACATAATACTATGCAAAACCTACGTCACAAATAGCAATATTCTCACTACTAGAGAAATACCCCTATTGACACACTTGTATTAAGACACAATATCTTCTATGTCCTAATAAATATGTATTTGGGACACTTTTATATTGTTACATTTTGTTGAAATTTTGTTGATACACTTGAACAAATATGTCATAATAGAACACTATATTGAGACACTTGTAAAATTAAGCTTTTATGTCTTTGATCTTAAATTTTGAAAAATAAAAAATAATGTTAAGCTATAATATGCGATAGACAGATGATAATATTTATTTAATTATATTTTTATTCATACATGCACAAAATGGGTAATATCTTCAAATAAGTTTCTCTTGCTTAAAGTAATTCAAGTATTTTTTTTGGTCAAATTCACTAATTTAAATCTTTCATAATTAAATTTGTAGAATCTAAAAACATTTTAGTTTGGCAAATGATAAATATCAATGAGCAATTTGAAGATAAATTTTGGATGGAAATTGTTGGAGGGATTTCTTTTTTGGCCAAAAAATTCTAGAGGAAGAAAGACTTGCGCGGCAACAACTTTAGAAAAAAGCGGAAAATAACTTTTGTGCGGACTTTTGCAGTTTTT